GGTTAGCTGATGGATTTACCAGGATTGCAGCTGCAGTTAACTTGTTAAATACCTTTGCTTGCCATCACAGTCACATAGTGTACACATATTTGCATCCAGATCTCAAGCTTCTGTAATTAAAATTTTGGATTTGAGAAATTAAATGATTTGCCCAAGACCACACAGCAAATTGGATCAGAGCCAGGATTAGATAGAAAGGGTTTCTATCCTTCAGTCTATATTTCTGTTTCCATTTAACAATGGTCTGTTACACTGCCACTGGTGGTAGGTATATAGGAAGTGAATCGGAAGACGACTATCTGATCATTAATAATTCCATGGCAACTTTCCTAAGAGTAAGGATATTAACACAGGTTTCTTCCAATTTGGTGATTGTATTCTATTTGCCTAATATGGCCCCTTTTGGTTTTAGTTTTACATGGTATTATTCACTTCTTGTTCCAAACTTCCTTGTGCTGTTAAATAGCTGCTGTGCTTCACCCCAAAGATAGCTTTATGTCACTGTTGAATAGGATGACCAGACAGCAAATGTGAAAAATCGGGACAGCGGGTGGGGGGATAATAGGAGCCTATATAAGAAAAAGACCCAAAAATCAGGACTGTCCCTATAAAATCGGGACATCTGGTCACCCTACTGTTGAATCATCCTTGTATAGCCCTTGCCAATATCACAAGTTGCTGAGAGGTTTATCTAATGATTGTAAAATATAGTATTGTTACACCCCCTCCCCCATGTAACTGATTTGGTCTGTAGCCCAGCTGAGAAGCAGAGATTTTATCTGTGCTGTCCTAATTTTAGAAATCGTTTTTCAACTTTGTTCAGGTTTAGTAGGAAATTACAAATATTTTGGTTTTGTTAACCATGATGCTATATCTTTAAAAGATAGAGCTGGAATAACAGCATTGTTACAGCCTTGTTACATAATATGTTTCTTGGCCACTCTCATTCCTGTCTGCCTCTGAATAGTAGGAGCCAGTCAGCTCATTACAACTTCAAAAGAGCACCTGAAAATCTACCTCTTTGGATAAATCAAAGGAGGAGTAGACTTGTGAAAAATCTTTTGGATCTTGGAGCATGGCCTACACTTTCTTAAACACAGCACTAAGTGAAACTGACTAACTTCAGTACATTACAAAACTGGATTGTATCCTGTTAGTTAGGTCCCCCTGTGCAGAGACTAGCAGTAGCCTAGCAGTTTTATCTGTGCAGAAATCTCTCTTCCAGCTGCCCTAACAGGGCATATATTAAGCGGAGAGGGAGGCATTCGAGATTCTTAACTCTCTTAAATTGGTCACAACCTGAGAAGATATGGTATCTTTACAATAACATGAAATGCAATTTTTGATGATTATGATGTTTTAGGTGCCATGGAATTCAAAATATCATTGCACACAGAGCAAGACAATACTCTGTTAAATGACTGTTTTGCTTGTTTTCTAAATGACTATTGATAATTATTGATCGTATTGATTATTGCATTAGAAAACTAATTTTAACAGATTTCTCCCCCTCTCCCCCCATACCTGTAATTTTTCACACATAAACCAGAGGGTATTTTCTTGATTTAGATTTATAACCTGGTTTGTTAGCTGGTCTTTGAATCCATATGCTTTTCTGGTGAAACAGTGATTCTTTCTTTAACTTTCCCCTTGTAGCTGACCTGAACAATGTCAGATTCTCGGCTTACAGAACTGCCATGAAACTTCGAAGACTGCAGAAAGCCCTCTGCTGTAAGTATATGCCTGTGCTTTATAGACTTCCTTCTAGTCTCTTCTGCCAAAAGGGCAAACCTGTTTGGCAACTTTTAGAAAAAGAAAATATCTCATGAACAAAAGTCTGTCCACTGCACAAACACTTTGGACTAGTATCATCGTCACTATGTTCCAGTGTTTTGTACCACTCAAACCTACCTCAAACAAAGTTAAGACAAAAGTATAAATTTGACCCTAAGTTAACAATTTCTAAATGTGTCCTATCTTAGCCTATTTAGGTATTTTTGCCACCCTCATTACCATAGTGCCTGAGAACGTCTCACCACTGCTTTACAGCTCCGTTAATGTCTAGATCATTCTATACTGGCATTAATCTTAAACATGAGTATGAACCCAGGGTCCTGGGTGGGTTTGTACAACCCACACTGAAACCTGCACCACCACATCTTCATTGCTAGTTTTAGCCACACTAGCTAAATTTAAGCTAATGTGGGTATGCCTACAGGGGCGGCAATCACACCTCTGGTTGCAGTGTACACATACCCTGTGTCATACTTGTCTGTGTATTCACATTGGCTAGTTACCTACTTTATTATGGATTAAATAATGTAGTCATAGTTTCCTTATTAGACTAATCAAACACACAGTATACAGTTTTAAATGCCATGTGAAACTGTCATGTGTAATATTTTAACTTTATTCATTCACTTTTAGTTGTAGACAGAGTTTAATTTCTGGGATAGTTGCAGACATGTTTCTACTGTCTCTTCTGTTTCAGCCTGGGATCTGTGTTCACATGCTCTTTGGAACTGTGTCAAACCTCAGTATCATTAAGCATATTCACTATGAGGCTGAGGGAGGGGTGAGTTAAAGTGAGGGGTTTCACTAATGCACAGAGTTAATCCTTGAAAGTCCTGCATTAATGAACACTTTCAACAGTAACTGAAAATTCTGGCAGCATAATGAAAGATGGGAGAAGAATTGCCAAATCCTTAGAAGCCCACACAATGTTTCTAAACTCCTATAATTTGGAATGTTTTGCCAATATGAATATAGTGATAAAGAATTAGTTACGAAATTCTTAGAAATATAAATATCCATTCTTAATATAATTCCTCTCCCACATTTCATCCCCTGAAAATGTGCAAGATAGCAATATACCATTCCCATCTTTTTGTTTTTTTTAAATAAATAAAAATATACTATTTGTAGTTGCCAGACTACTTCTGAAGATGTAAACACCAACTACAAATATGTTCCAATAAGTTGTGTCCAGCCATGAATCTGCTGTGCTTCTTACTTGGAACTATACAAACTTATTTAATCTTTGTATAGTATAGACTTTTTAAGGTTTATGTTTTGCGTCAGTACTAAATTTTATAGAGAGTTTCAAGAGTGGGATAAGAACTAAACATTATTGGGCTTTTCCAATACAAAGGGGAGTCTAGAAAGATATGTAGAATAAATAGAATGGTACAGGGTCAGAATAAAGTGTTGATTTCCCATGGGAAATTCACTTCAAGAAACTGTTTATGAATTGCATGGTTCTCATTCTCACCAGACAGCTTGAATATATAAGTGTAACAGACACTTTTGTGCCTGAACATATGGAACCTAAAATACTTTGGGCCAGATTTGGATCTTGTTTACCTAATTCCACATCTGTGAAGCTCTGTTAAGTGTGATCAGAAGTAGGTTCTTAGACTTTAGAAATGTTAACTATCTGGGTGAGAACCTGGCTTCATTGATGTCAATGGCATAACTCCTACTGCAATTGGACCAGGATTTCACTTCTGTGTTTATAAAAGCTTTTTCTTGTGTTTATCTTCTGTCCATTCAAAATAATAAAGAAAACTAGATACTGGATTAATCTCATATTGTGCTGCTGCTTCCACATTTTTTAGAAATTCTCAATTTGTTAGACTAGCTATTGCAGGACAGCTGTTTCTTCTATAAACATTTAAGAACTGCCCTGCTATACAATTATGTTTATACTGGCACACAATTCCTTCTTTCTCATACTGTCAAGTTTATAGTACAGTTTGTCTTTATATAAGTGTTTACTTGAGGGCAAGTGAAGATTTTCTGAGATCCAGATGTCTTAACAAACATGCAGTGGCACCTACATTAAATACCTAAGCACATTCTTCACACTTTCTATCCATAGAGAGTTGTTTGAGGAGTCTGGATAACTATGTTTGTACTCAGTATTTGAGAAGCAATATTCCTGCAAAGAACAAAGACACCATAATTAAATATTCTTATTTTACAATTTCACCAGCATTTGTGAACCAAATTTAATTATGCAGCAAAGTTATTATTGAGTTTCTTACTGTTTCTTTTAATTTGGCATTAATAGCAATTGAACACTATTTTGGATCTCAAGGCATCAAGTCATAAACAAGAGAGTTCAAATTTCCAATTGAAGTAATTGCTTTCATCTCCTTCCTTTTTACTTCATCTTTGAAACTTGGCGGGGAAGGAGAGAAGTCTTGGATTGTTTTCATTTTCTGCAAATCCACCAAATCTGTAAAATACAAGACATCTTTGTCTTTTGAGGTTTGTTTTTATTTCCCAGTCAGGTTATATTTACCTCATAGAAGGCCTTGAGAGTTGGAGATATGTCCTGTTTCCAAATGTCAAAATAAAAATGCTTTTAAATAATCAGCTATACTTAGACTGTTTATGTTTTGTGCCTTTACAGGATTTTGGGAAACTAAGTGTAAGAATGAGTTTAGTATAGCTTTTTATTAAGGCTAAAAAGAGAAATGCAGAAAAAATGGTGATGCTGCACAAATAAATTCATGTGCTGAGAAATGTTTGCACATGGTATTACCCTGAAATATTCTCAGATGTGGCACCAGCCTCCCAGCATTACAGCATATTATGTACACGCTAGATATAACCATTTCACCATTGCTTTTAAATGTACATCCCCCTTTGATAATCACATCAAAGCATGTTAATTTTCTTGTGTAAAGAATTGCTTTAAAATATATCCTTTTTAAGTGCAATCCACATCTGAACATTCTGATGTCAATAAAATTCACTTTGCTCTACAACCTTTCTCCTGGAGATTCAACAAAAGAAAAATATGCAGCAGTTTCTCTACCAATTATCTTATTTTGCTCTCTATATACTAACTAAATTAAAGGATCACTTACATATCAACAAAAAGAACAGGAGTACTTGTGGCACCTTAGAGACTAACAAATTTATTGGAGCATAAGCTTCCGTGGACTACAGCCCACTTCTTTGGATGCATATCGGATGGGCTGTAGTCCACGAAAGCTTATGCTCTAATAAATTTGTTAGTCTCTAAGGTGCCACAAGTACTCCTGTTCTTTTTGCAGATACAGACTAACACGGCTGCTACTCTGAAACCTTACATATCAACAGAGAACATCAGATTTACTCATGGGATGACCTTGCATTCTGAGAGATCCCTGTATGATTTTAATTACCGGCCATATTTAGTTTTCCTCAATTTCAGTATGTGATTACTACTGAGTATCTTTTTCTTACTAGATAGTTGTCAACTTTCTCCCTAAAACTTGCCTCTCGTGCATTGTCCTTAGATTTTCCCATGCTTCAGATTATGAGTGCCATTTTACAGGATGGGTCCCCCTTGCCCATGTCTTTGATGGAGAATGTGAGTTGGCCTTAAGCACATACTCCCACTTCTGTCGCTCTCTTTAAAATCCAAAGTATTGTTTACCATGGCTGGGATACAAATATCCTAGAGGCTGGTCAATGCACAAACTGTGCCAGCTTATCTAAAATAATTGGCTGAGCCTTACACTCAACTTGATGGAAATTCTCTATTTGTCTGTTAAGATGTAACACAATGGCTTTTGAACACTGCATCCAAAAAATTCCAAAACTTCAGGGAATATTCTAGGCATCAGTGAGCAGGACCCTACTGATTTTTTGTGAAAACTGGAAAACCGGAGTGTATGCAATGAGCTCAGCCTACAGAAACTACACAGTGTGCAACCCATTGGGTTTTAATTGATGGAGTTAAAACCAGTGCAACCCCCCAGGTGGACACATGTACATTGATTTACACCTCTTTTGTATCTATTTAGTTGACTGCATTAAGCCACGTTATGGGGGTTACGTCTCAGGATATGATCATGCATGTGAGTCAATATTTTGGGAGGAGTCTGAGTATTAAATTTCTGAGGGAAAATGGACCCCCAGTACTTTTCCCACTAAGCTCCTGATGCCTTTGTGGGGGGCAGTCCAGGAGGAGTAGCAGTTGTCCTACAGCAGAGTCTGGTGTCATACACCCCGATGTGTTATTAGACACCCATATATCATTGACTTCAAGACAAGACCGAAGGTTTGATTAAATAAAGAGCACAGTTAAAGGATTTTAAGATGCTGTCACTTATTAGTGTTAAAAGCTTTCACAAAATAGAATGACCCATGTTTATCTGTAGTCACATGTATAATTAAGCTGCCACCCAGATGCTTGAGGGGTTCATTTAATTACCATTGATTCGTTGTCACAGAGGAACTGTGCATTCAGGCTAAAGTTAAAGGTTTTGTGAACGCAGTGCTGCATTTCCAATTTGGCTAATAAATTGTTATTAGAGAAAAGCATCTTTCTATGACCCTTAGAGATGGGGCTGATAAATAGGCTGTTGTTGAACAAGACACACATCTTAGGAGAATTACATTTTTTAAATGTCAATAAATAAAATACAATCTCCAAAATAAAGATGCTTTATATTAAAAAAAATACTAATTTCAAAAATTGAAATGTATTCACTCTGTAAGCTAAATCTTTTAGTATAACAGTAGACATGTATATACCATTACATACACACTTTATTTGCTTTAGGATTTGGGTATATTAGGCGTGTAGGCTAAGATTTTCAGATGTCAAGGGATTTAGGAGCACAAGTTCCTTTGATTTTTCAATGAGATTTGTATTCTGAAATTCCATAGGTACTGCTGAAAATCCCATCCATATTGTATAACTCCTTGCAAATTATTCAGTGGCTGAGTTTGGAAGGCTAAAGTAGTGTCCTGTTAGGACACAAAGAGCCAGATTCATCTTTGATGGAATTTTAAGTTGCACCAGAAGTGAATTTGGCCAATGTGACAATAAGCTATTGCTTCGCTGTTAAAATTTGTTAAATTGTGAAGTATTGTTGCTTGTCAAAGCTCATTAAAAATCTTTTTCAAAAAGAGGAAGCATGGTCTTGTGGTTAGGGCACTTACCTGGAACTTGGGAGATCTTGGTTCAGTTCCCAGTTCTGTCAACTAATTCCTATATGGCCTTCACTTAGGGCCAGATTCTTCCACCCTTAATCACACTGTATTATACCATACTCTGTGATTATCCCGTTGAAATCAACTCAATGTGAGTAAGAGTGACAGAATTTGGCCTTCAGTCTGTCTGGTTTGCTTCCTTATCTGTGAAGTAGGCAAAACAATACTTTCACATTTCATGGAGGTAGTGTGAAGATAAATTCATTAATATTTGTGAGGTGCTCAGACATTATGGCAGTGAGTGCAAATATAACTAGCCCTCACTATCTTGCTTTCTTGTATGATCCCATTTCATTTTAAAAATCATGTCTCATAAACACTCAAAATTGTTATCCTTCAAAGCTTAGAGGCAAAATACTTCCCTCAGTCAATTGATACTGAACTGCTTTTTATCTTAGTGGGAGGTGCAGTTAGAGATTACGGGTAATAAGTAGAACTGTGTAAAGAACAGAAGTTCCATTTATTGAAGGATTTTGAATTTTCATTTCATTTTGTATCAGAACAAAACACAAAATTTTCAAAGCTCTCCAAAAAGAAAAATTCTTGGGGAAAAATTGTTTCAGATTGATTGAAACACTTCATTTTGACAAAATTGTTTCATTTTGGTTTTGACTTATTTTGTATTACATTGTTATATAGAATACAAAGAAAAATTGACACAAAAAGTCAGTTTGATAGAACCGCATATTCCGATTAAAATATGGCCCCCCCTGAAATTTTTCCCATCATCTTTAGTAATTGGTATTTTATTTGCCAAAAGTAATGCTGTGATGGAAATAGACGAAAACCTCATTAAAGTTGGCATGTTCTAAAATGACATAATATTCACTATGTTTTTAATCAAATACTGTCAACAGGAATATAAAAATTAAATTACATGATTTCATGTTTTATATGCTTTGAATAAGATATTTTATTTATATAGCATCCAATAATATGGTAGATCTTTTACAGAGAATATGAAACTATTCTCTGACTTATACAATTTACAGTCTAAGGCCTCATCCTGCAAAGCCTTAATGCAGTGGTTCTCGGACCAATCAGCACACAGCTGCAGCCCATGGGACATCCGCAGGGCCATACAGATAGTGTGTGTGTGTGTATGGGGCTACATAGAGAAGTGCATATGCAGTCCACAATGGTAAATATGTTGAGAACCACTGGCCTAATGAATGTCTAAGAGTCTGCAGGATTGGGGCATAAAAGATTATTTTCTGACAAAGGGTTGGGGAAGGGATGAAAGCTTAAGAAAATTGTAATCAAAATATATTATTGTCGGGTGGGGGTTAATACTTGAAATGACTGAGTATTTTATTGTTGTAGTTTATTATTATTTTATTTTAAACAGTGGATCTACTGAGTCTGTCTGCTGCATGTGATGCCTTGGACCAGCACAACCTCAAACAGAATGACCAGTCGATGGATATCCTTCAGATCATTAACTGCTTGACCACCATTTATGATCGACTAGAACAAGAGCACAATAACCTGGTCAACGTCCCTCTTTGTGTGGACATGTGCCTCAACTGGCTGTTGAATGTCTATGACACGTATGTCTGAGTAGTCTGAGTATAGTGTACTAAAGGCTTTAATGACAGTTGGGGATAATGAGCTGTCTTCCTGGTTACAAAATGAGTGGCTCGGAGCTGGAAAGCCGGTGGTCATAGTGCAAGTTTAATAAAAATAATGGCTTACTGGTTGCACTTAGCTGAATCAATACAACCCTGAATTAGGCTTGGAGTCCTAAATTGTTTTATTAAGCTAAGAAGTGATAGAGCTGGAAAATAGAAAATTCTACTTTAAAATGGTCCGTGTATGTTAGGGTCATTTTTCAGAACTCCATCCCATCATTAAGTTATGACTCTGCAAGGCACTTTTGAATTTCCTTGTTAATACACCTTCATCTTTACCAATTAAGAGAATTATCAAAAAGCAACAGCATAATCTTCATTATATGCGTGCTCATGCTCGTCTATGCTTCCAACAGTTAAGCCTATTCATGGTGACACATTTTCTATAGCTTTTAGTATGTAATCTTTGATAGATGCTGGAAGGGGGGGCACCTGTGGTGCAATATGCTTGTGACTTTTAATAGTCAACAGATCTGAGTGAATTTTCGTAGGTTAGTAATGTTGCTCCTAAAATTCAGTTTTAGCAAACAAAGACCACTTCAAAGTGGAATTTAGCTATGCTGGGTCCACACTCATGAGTTTACAGAAGATGGGGTAGATTTACTTTGATAGTCTTACAGAAAATCCATTCGATCTGCTGTTTTAATCAGCTGCCTCCTAGAGCTCGGACAACTCCTAAATTACCCAATAATTAAATAAAGCAGCCTAGTTTTGGATTATTGCTGGATTTACAGTAATAAACAGCTCTGCAAATTCTGTGAGAAAATTTGGCAGTCCAAGCCCTGACTTCTTACTTAAGACTAGAAGTATCTATTAGGTATCCTTAAAGTCAGACACACACTCATATGTCATGTGGCAAAATAAACCTGTGTAGATGAGAGCGTGGGCTTTTAATTTCATCAACATTTTGGATTAAGTTAAAATAAAGATTCACAGCATGGGAATACCTCCATGCCCCAAGAATGTTTCTTTCATCAAGTTTTAATCAATGTAATTACTCCTTATTGATTTCTGGATCAGAAATTGCAGTTGTCTCCCAACCAGGGTGATTCTATAAATGGAGGACTTCCCATTATCACTTAATCCACAACAGCCATAGAGTTAATATGGATAGTCATTCCACCATGTTATAGAATGTATTGTGATTACACTAGATTTTTTGCTTTGTTCACAGGCAATAGAGAACAGGCCTAGGTTTAATATTTAGGTTAAAGTTTTTTTTTAAATCTACTTTAGTTTTCAGAAAACAAATATCTGATCCAGTTTGTATTTAGACCCAAATATGAATAAAATCTAATACAAATTACAATTCTTCCCAATCAAAAAATGTTAGGTGTGTAGGCAGGGGCAATAAAATCATAGAATCATAGAAGATTAGGGTTGGAAGAGACCTCAGGAGGTTATCTAGTCCAACCCCCTGCTCAAAGCAGGACCAACCCCAACTAAATCATCCCAGTCGGGCTTTGTCAAGCTGGGCCTTAAAAACTTCTAAGGATGGAGATTCCGCCATCTCCCTAGGTAACCCATTCCAGTGCTTCACCACTCTCCTAGTGAAAAAGTTTTTCCTAATATCCAACCTACACCTCCCCAACTACAACTTGAGACCTTTGCTACTTATTCTGTCATCTGCCACCACAGAGAACAGCCTAGCTCCATCCTCTTTGGAACCCCCCTTCAGCTAGTTGAAGGCTGCTATCAAATCCCCCCTCACTCTTCTTTTCTGAAGACTAAATAAGCCCAGTTCCCTCAGCCTCTCTTCATAAATCATGTGCCCCAACCCCCAAATCATTTTCATTGCTGTCCCCTGGCCACTCTCCAATTTGTCCACATCCTTTCTGTAGTTGGGGGCCCCAAAACTGGACTCAGTACTCCAGATGTGGCCTCACCAGTGCCGAATAGAGGGGAATAATCACTTCCCTCGATCTGCTGCTAACACTCCTACTAATGCAGCCCAATATGCCGTTAGCCTTCTTGTCAACAAGAGCACACTGTTTACTCGTATCCAGCTTCTCGTCCATTGTAATCACCAGGTCCTTTTCTGCAGCACTGCCACTTAGCCAGTTGGTACCCAGCCTGTAGCAGTGTATGGGATTCTTCCATCCTAAGTGCAGGACTCTGCATTTGTCCTTGTTGAACCTCATCAGATTTCTTTTGGCCCAATCCTCCAATTTGTCTAGGTCACTCTGGACCCTATCCCTAGCCTCCAGCATATCTACCTCTTCCCCCCCCCCCCGCTCCCCTTAGTGTCAAATCCTCCTGATTGCGTCTCCTCAAGACTCTGTCTTGCTAAATTCAGTCTCATTATGTTTATTTATTTCGTTGAAACCTACTACATTGTAAATTATAGTTTGCGCCATTGAGGGAAGGAATACTGAGGAAATGGATGCTACAGATCTGGCGGGAACATTGTAGGGATCCAGGAATGAGGGAAGGGCATGGCCTTTTACTCATGTTTTGTGTTTGTGTTATCCTGGATGAGCACAGAAAGAAGAGCCAAGGGTCAGATGTATGTACTGATAGGGTAAATAGACGAGTCCCTCAATGATTTTCTTGAATTCATTCTCCTATTAGAGACTCCGTGGCATTTAAAAAAAAAACCCGAATAATTTGCATTTATTATGCTTCCTAACTGTTATTTGTAAAGGTATTGATAACTGGAACACACTACAAATGACTGGTCCAATTTGGCGTGCAGCCTTGCAGCTATTCAATATGTTTCAATTTTGTTTTAATTGATCAGACATTCATACTCATTTGCAGTTACATGCTAAATTATCTGTTTATTTTGGGAGGCAAAGAGGAGGGTGTAGCCAACTGAACCAACTCATGCTTCATGAAAGTTCCTATTTAATATACCTTACAGGAAAATCATCATACTACATGCCTCTTCTGTATAATTTGCATGAGGCTGGTATTCATCTGCATGGGTTTCTGAGGGCACAAAGGATAATGAATTTGGAAAGGATATGAGGAAGGGGAGGAAGTGCAAAGAAGAAAAGAATAAGAACAGAATGTTGAACTGACATAAGTGAATGACAGATGCTGATTTATGAATAGAATCATAGAATCATAGAATATCAGGGTTGGAAGGGACCTCAGGAGGTCATCTAGTCCAACCCCCTGCTCAAAGCAGGACCAATTCCCAACTAAATCATCCCAGCCAGGGCTTTGTCAACCCGGGCCTTAAAAACCTCCAAGGAATAAAAATGGGATGTGTTGAGGGATCCAAATTCTGATCTGTTACACCAATGTAAATCTGTAGTGTCTCTCTTCATTTCAGTGGAGTTTTTTTTTAATTAAGGTATTACACTTGTATGATAGCAGAAGTTGGGCCAATGGATGTAAATGGCTCTTCTGCTGATCTTGACAGTATTACAGATGAAATGTATTTATTGGCTGAACTGTTCATATACTGTTCAGCACAGCGTAGGGTGCCTTTTATAATTGCATGCATTAATATTGTTCTTATTTTCAGTGACAATAGTGAAAGTGGCACTTATAGAAAATTATTGATAGATCTCTGCCTAAAGGAGTTGTTAGACATATGCTTTTATTGTATTGTACACATTTTGATCATTTGTTTGGGGGAGCAAGGTTGTTTTGTTTAAATATATCAGTGAAGTTGCGTGGCACACAGTCATGGAGGATGTTGTAGATCTAGAGAGGCTGCAGAGCACAAGTGGATAGGGGAAAGGAGGATGACTAGAGACCACATATGGACTGGGGTGGGGCCCATACAGGCTCTTTAAAGTGAGTGGAAAGTGTTTTGAATGTTACATCTTTGGTATCACTAATGAGTTGAGGCTAATGCTGACACTAAGCGAAGACATGTTTCAAAATGTTCACCATCTTCCAGTGTTCCCAGTAGGAATGAAGTCAGGCTGCCCTTAGGGAAGAGTGTGGCTCCCTATGCTGTCTGGGACCCCCATCTTCCCTGAAGACATCTTGGCTTCATTTCCATTGTAAACAGTGGACGGTGGTAGCCACATTAAAAGATGAAGTGTTTACTAAAGGCACTTTTAGCTTCACTTCCATTGATCACAAAAGGAAATGGCAGCCATTTTAAAAGAGGGCAATTCTTTGCGGAATTTTCTATATCAGAACATTTATTTGTCATCCCTTGCTGAAGCACTTTCAGTTATAAATAATAAAAGCGAAAAATAACCAAATGTCTTCAAATGTGGTGACTTTCAGTCTATATGGGAAAGAGTGCATTATTTCATTATTAAGATCATTTGGACTAGAAAAATAGACTGGCCCAGGGTGTTAAATTTTTTACAGGGCTCATTTTTAAATTAATATGAACTCTCAAACTAATGAAAGGTTATGTACATGTGAATGTTCAGACTCAGTAAGTGTTGTAATTGGGGGGAGATACATTGCCATTCATGTCAGAGTGGTTGAATCCCTGATTTAAGTGCAAAACATAGCATTAACTATGGAACAGCAACCAGTTACTTATCTTGGAGCTGTTGATGAACACTGTTTAACCAGTATATTCAACAGGTCATGTATAAGTTACACAAGAATTAAGTTTTGTGAATAGTACAGAATCATAGAAATGTAGCGCTAGAACGCACCTTAAGAAGTCATCTAGTCTAGCCCCCTGTGCTGAGGCAGGACTAAGTAAACATAGAGCATCCCTGACATGTATTTGTCCAACCTATTTTTAAAAACCTCCAGCAATTATCAGGGCTCTAAGATTGGTGGTTAAGCTTGTGTTTAATTTTAAAAGTTGCATTACTCTCCTAAATAAGACCTCAAATATGTGGATTATATTATCAATCAGTGTTTGTTTTTCTTATCATCATCAACAGGGGTCGAACAGGAAGGATCCGTGTCTTATCTTTTAAAACCGGTGTAGTTTCCCTGTGTAAAGCACATTTGGAAGATAAGTACAGATGTAAGTCAGGTGTCTTCATTTATATTTTATTTCATTTTTAATTTATTTTTATTTTTTCCTATATATCATGGAAACACAAAAATTCGGGACAGAAAAGTCCTGTTAGGTCTTCTAATCCTTCAGTGAAAGATAGTTCTCTACACTGTATTTTTAAATGACTTGTCCAGTGTAGATTTCTCCCCACTTCCTATAATAGATTAAAGTTCTTTCTACACTGGCCAGAAAAAAAATCAATGACTACATATTAGGAAGAAGTAGGGTTTAATATGATTTGTCATAGAACGGTATTAAAACTTTTTTCCCCTGACCCGTTTAGACAGGATCTAAATGACAAGATGACAAAGTACAAAAGCAAATGTTTCAGGAAAAATTATATTTAGAGCAACTTGTGTTATAGCATGTTGAATAAAATTACAGTATCTTAAGTCTGGTGTCTACAGTGGCAGCGGAATCATACTTGAAAAAATTATGTGCAACCACAGTTGCTATCCCTGGGTGAACAATAAAGATGTTCATATTCATGAAAAGCTTTTTTGCAATTTTTTTTTCATTTTATATATATATATATATATATATATATATATATATATATATATATATATATATATATATA